GTCGGGGGCATGTGCCTTGGTTGTGGGCATATCCCCAGTGGGGAGTGTGCAGGAGGCGGCTGATCGATGTTTCTCTCGCATTGATGTTTCTGGCTCTCTGTCCCTCTCCCTTCCTCTCTGTAAAAATTCAATAAAATATATATTTTTTTAAAAAAGAATGGGCTTTAGAGCAGACTGTGAATTCCTTATCATTCATATGCAAAATGATATGAGACTACAATTTTCTGATGTAAAGAGTTGATTCCATAGTTTATATTTTCAAAGGAATGGTGACTGCCCTAAGAGGTTAAGGACTATTGGATTAAAACAGGCTTCCATATTGTTTATGGGGCCTAGAAATGACTAGAAATGAAGATTCCCTCAGACCTGCTGTTGGCATACATGTCAAGGTATCTCACATACTAGCCTGCATGTCCAAGCTCAGGCTACCTGCCTCTCACAAACAGGGTCTAAGGTTACATCAGTCCTGAAGTTCACTCTCATGAGTATAGATCTGGGGTTGAGGCACATGTAGGCCCTGGAATTGGGCCATTTGGGCTAGGAGGTCCAGGGTCCTGAGTTCCCAGAGCAGGTCTAGAATTGGGGGGTGGGCACAGGTTCCAGGTGGGCACTTCTAGATTCCCCTGGACGTCTCAGCCCATGGAGAGGGACACAGCCAGAGGATGTCAGAGTGGGGCCCTCTCCCTGGGTTTAGGCATACTGGTATTCAGTACTGTTCTTGAAAACAGTCCCTGTGAGGAAGTTGAGGGTCTTAGAAGACTTAGGGTCTTGAAGAAAAAGGATGTGAGGATGCTGTGAAACCTATTTTTTGTGTTTTGTTTTACGTCTAGTCTAGTTCTTTTTCCACTTAATTCTCAAAAGGTGTGCTATGAGTCCTAGCCAGTTTGGCTCAGTGGATAGAGCGTTGGCCTTAGGACTGAAGAGTCCTAGGTTCAATTCTGGTCAAGGACACGTACCTTGGTTGCAGGCAGGATCCCTGGCCTTGGTGCAGGAGTCAACCAGTTGATGTGTGTCTCTCACATTGATGTTTCTCTCTGTCTCTTCCCCTTCCTTCCACTCTCTTTAAAAATCAATGGAAAAATATCCTTGAGTGAGAATTAGCAACAACAACAAAAAATAATAATTAAGGTGTGCTATGATAGGTTCTCTATGACCTAGATTTAGCTCACCTGGCTATGCCTATATCTAGCTCTTGGGTTATGTAGACTATAGATTTAAGGGAAGAAAAAGGAATTTATTCTGTGTTGTCTCTTCTCTGGTATGTGTTGGATGTATTTAACCAGAATGATTGAACATTTAAATGTTTATGTAAGATTTGGATAATTGGTCTTAATCTATAAAAAATACTGTGTGTGCCTAAGCCAGTTTGACTCAGTGGCTAGAGCATCGGCCAGAGGACTGAAGGGTCCCGGTTTGATTCCGGTCAAGGACACATACCTGTTTTGCAGGCTTGATCCCTAGCCCTGGGCAGGGTGCAAGCAGGAGGCAACCAATCGATGTGTCTCTCTCACATCAATGTTTCTCTCTCTATCTCTCCTTCTCCCTTCCACTCTCTCTGAAAAAAAAAAAAATCAATGGAAAAATATCCTCGGGTGAGAATTAACAACAAAAAAAGCTGTGTGTATGGGGTGGGGGTGGGGGGAGTGTTAACCACCTTAATTTGGGTAAAGAAATGTGTTCCTGGGAAGAGTTGAAAGTTCATAGAATTTTCCTGAATAGAATTTTGTTAAAACTTAGCTTTGGAGTTACTCAATATTTAAAATAAGTGAGATAAAGGAAGAATGTTTTTCATAAAATAACCATCCCTCTATTCTGATTAATTTTAATTATAATATAAGGTGTCCCAAAAATGTATACACACTTTGAGTAATTATTAATTCCAATGAGTTAAACCTGAAAAGAATGAAACAAACTGAGCTATCAACTTCTAGTAGTGTATACATTTTTTTTCGGGGGGTGGGGGGTGGGGAAACACCCTGTATTTATATCAAGATGGGTTGTGCGTGAAGGGGCTCTTGTTTAAGCTTATCAGTGAGAACAAAAAATACCAGATTTCAAACTTTCCTTAGTAATATGAGTATTATAAAAGGCTGAAAGGCAAAAATCATACCTCCTTTTCCCACATACTTCTCTTCCAATTATGTCCTCCTAATCTCTCCTACCTACTGTACCCTCTCCCAGGGTCCAGGCTTGTGTCCTCATAACCTGTGGTTCTCAGGGAGAAAACTGCAGGTGATTCCTAGAGTCAGCTTGGAAAGTGGAAGGTGAACAAGGCTTCTGAGACTGGGGAGGAGAGACCTTTCAAAAATAAAAAGGGCAGTGTCCCTGTCCTTTCATTGCTTCTGGTGTCACTGCTCACTTTATGCAAGATGGCTTGGGCTGTGCAGTAAAAAATGTAAAGAGAGAGCCTTGGCCAATGTTGCTCAGTTGGTTGGGCATGTGCACAAAAAAGATTGCTGGTTTGATTCCCAGTCAGGGCATATGCCCAGGTTGTGGGCTCAATCCCTGGCAGGGGTGTGCAGGAGGCAGTCAGTCAATGTTTTGCTATCACATCAATGTTTCTCTCTCTCCCTTCCTCTCTCTCTCAAAATCAATTTAAAAACCATATATATATGGAGAGAGAGGGGGGAGAGGGAGGGAGGGAAGGAGGGAGGGAGGGAGAGAAAGAGAGAGAGAGAGAGAGAGAGGCACCTAGAGCAGGGGTGGGGAACGTCTGACCCCCCTCAGGCCATTTAAAACCCATGAAATAATTTGATCTGGACCTGCCAAAGCATTGGGGCTGGGTTAATTAAATGTTTGACCAAATATAGTAGGCTAATTTTTAAGTTGATAATTTAGTATGGCCAACAAATGATGTTATAAATATCCAAATGGCCCTCAACCGAAAAAAGGTTCCCAACCCCTGGCCTACAGTGTTACTAGCCTAAGGGCTGAGGTGTAGAGAGCTCTAGAGATACCTCTAAGGAAGTCTTTAAAGGGATATCCTTAGATGGAGTAGACACCAAGTTGGAGGCAAAATAAGTTTCCCATTCTTGGGGGCTTTTATTCACTGAATGGGGAGATCCCTTGCCTCTTCTGCTCCCTTTTAGACCTAAAAAGCCTGTTGACTACTCCCTGCCAACTACATTTGGCGGCTTTCAGAGGACACTGCCTTTTGAGCTGTCTCCAACTCTCTTGATCATCAATGGGCAAATCATACCAGTGGGGATGTTGAGTCACAGACACATGATATAGGGCTGGGAGGTGAGGGGGACCACACACCACTGGGTGGTGATATAATCTTCCAGACCACTGTACCTTTCCTTATACACTTAGGGTTTCTCCCTCGTGGCTTTCCCCACTTATTCCATATCTTCAGGGATTGTGTATTCCTCTGTATACACAATCTGTATAAATATCAGGCATTGATGCTTTTATGTGTCTAGGCCTAGTGTCTTTTATATGATGTATAATGAGTCCCTGGGTGTGGTGGTGTGAGGAGTTAGAAAGCTCAGAAATGAAAAACATTTAATGTTCAGAGTAGCAAATGAATACAGCTTACCCATTTGCATTTTCCCTTTCACTCTGACTCATCTTCCCCTCTCCCCACCCTATTATTGCCCCTCTACCAGCCCCACCCAATGGCACACCCTGTCTGATGTAGGAAGGGTTAACATCTGCCTGCACCCAAGCTAGAACAAGAGGTAGAGGGAAGACATATTAAGTCTGGAGGGAGAAAGTAGAAGGCTGGTCTCAATATTTTGGGGTCCTGGGGCCAAAGGGAGAAACAGGAGTTTAGAGACATAATATTTGAGTCTAGGAGAGGACCCAGAATCTAAGGGAAAAGCCTGGAGAGTGGGGGGAAACCAGAGAAGCCTTCCAATGCCTGACTTGTTTATCTTTGTTATTGGGCATATATGATACTCCAGGCTCATATAAGTGATTTATTAAATCAAAAAAAATTTGTCATAGGATGAGGGATCATGGAATAATATGAAAAAGAAATTTGAGTTTCTCAGACATCATCCTTTTCCCAAGTTAACAAGTGCTAAGGTGAAAAGACGGGAAATCTCCGAGGACCTTGACTCTGGGCAGGAAGTGAAAGAAACCCCGGAGTTCTGATTTCAGAGAAATGTAATTTGTCATCAACCCAAGAAAAGGAGTTTTTCTCTTCAAAGACCACCACAGACCCTTTCTGGGGTTACCCCCTTCAGAGTTTGATGGGAGGATCTGAGTCACTCACACACGCAGTCCTCAGTGATGGCTCAAATGACAGAGGTCATTTCCACAAAGCAGTCAAGGCTTCCTAGTATCAAGTCAGGCATGCTTTCGGCTCTCCTTCACTCTCTCCTTGGAATCCAGATATTCCAGTCCTTTTTGCCTCTGAGATAGTAGAAACCGCTTTCATCTGCTGGAGCTCCGCTGACACCTCTAAGAAACAGAATTAATACTATTTGAGTGATACTATGTACTGACAAACCTCTTTCACATTCATCATTTCATCTTCACCCCCACCTCCAAAGAAGATAAGCAGAGGTTTACCCTATTTCATGAATGAGGTAAGTAAGGGAGGCTCAGAGAGATGATTTGCCCAAGGTGACTCAACTAGTAAATGGCAGAGATGAGACTCAAATGCAGATCTGATTAGTTCAGAGTTTTTTGTTGCCTCAGATACACTTCTTTGACTCTAGAAGTTCACAAATGAAATAAGGAGACAGGTTAGGAGGCAGGATGCCTGGATTCTAGACTAGAAGGGGTGGTCTCTCCTGGAGGGGTGAAGCAGAGCCAGGGGTAAAAAACCACACCCTGTGGGGGAACTGTGGCAGACTGATACTTGGGACACCCATTGGAAGATTGTGAGGTCAGGGGCGGAGTTATTGGGGTAGAGGGTGGGCAGGAGCCCAACAGAAGTTCAGAACATGCAGTGTTCAGGAGGAAGCTACAACTGGTGAGTGGTTTCTTCTCCCCAGCTGAGACTTTCTTCCCATTATACCCCTCTTCCTGTCCACTTCCTGCCAACCTATAGCCCTCTCCCTGAGGTGACCAAGTAATAATCCTCCCTCCCACAAGAGTCCTCACCACATCTAGGAATATGCCTGCTGGGTCTGCCTCTTTGTATCTGAGTTCCCAGTTCTCTTCTTAAAAGCCAATGTGGTGATTTTGATGTGTGAGAAATTCCTGTCTTGTTGGGTTCTTTTTATTCTTCACTTTTGGCGTATGAAAAACAAAATTAAACCATCTTCTTATCTTAACCTTCAGAGGAAATAGCCTCTCCTCTGTAGTTCTCATTTCCCTTTCTCTCACTTCCTCAGGGGTCAAAGTCTTCTCCCAAACCTCTCTCTATCCTTGGATCAAGAGCCTTCTCTCCTGTGACTTCTACACCTGCTCTTAACTCACTAGACAGGCATCTTCGGTCTCTTCCAGTTCCTTCTCTGAGGATGTGTTCTAGATGCTTCAGCCTCAAGGAGATGATCGATGCCTTGGAACCTGCCCTCCTGCAACTATGACCCCATGTATTGCTGATTTTCTGCTTCTCAGGACCCTCAGCTCCACGTGATGGACTTGTGTGGGGACACACTAGCTCTCTAAACTCTCGCATGAGCCGTGTCTTGCTCGATCCCTAACTGACAGGGATGACTGAGTCTGGAGGTGATCTCTTTGTCTCGAATGAAGGGAGCCTGGCCTGCTCAGAGGGGCTCCGAGAAGCAGAAGTATCAGTATGTGCTATCATTTAAGTCAGAGATTGCTAATTGGCAGAATCCATCTACTAGTCTTAAGCCCACTACTTAATGTAGTTGTTAACTACCTGATCCTTGCTTTTTAAGTCCTCACTGTAATCTAATTTCTGTTCTCTTGCCACCAAACTCTAGGCCCCTGTTATGGTTCTGGATAAGCTCAAGTCCTCTCTTGGGTTAGTTTATTTGCTCCATTCAGGATAGAGAGCTCTGATCCAGAACAAACAACTCATTCTTTCTCCCCTCACCTCCACAGGCTTGAGAATATGCTGTTCCTTCCTCCCCTTTCCACCATGGACCTCGAACTGTGGCCTTTGTCTCAGGACCTCTGAGACTGGTACCCAGGCAAGGCAAAATGCCCCTGTCCCCAACAAGACTGCCTAGCCCCTATGGCTCTGATCGGCTGGTACGGCTAGCAGCCAGGCTCAGGCCAGCACTATGTGATACCATGATCACCGTGGGGAGCCAGGAGTTCCCTGCACACAGCCTGGTGCTGGCAGGTGTGAGCCAGCAGCTAGGCCGCAGGGGTCACTGGACTCTGGTGAAAGGAATCAGCCCTTCCACTTTTGCGCAGCTTCTGTACTTTGTTTACGGAGAGAGTGTTGAGCTGCAACCTGGAGAACTGGGGCCCCTTGAGGAGGCTGCCAGGGCCTTGGGGGTGCAGTCCCTGGAAGAGGCATGCAGGAAGGCTCGAAGAGACAGGGCTAGAGCAGAGTTTAGTCAAGGGCTGAAGGAACATCAGAAGCCAGAGAAACCCACAAGGGATTCTGAGAGTGGAGTGGGGGACCTTGGAGAGCAGAGACCAGAGAAGTTTATTAGAGCTGGTGGGAGAGAACAGGAGATGGTGCAGGAGCACAGGCCACTGAGAGAGAGCTCTGAGATAGCAGAGGCAATGCCGGAGGATCAGAGGGAGCATATGAGATCAGAGGAGAAACTCGACCAATCCCTTTTTGGCCACGGGGGAGTAGGTGGGAAACAAGAAGTGATCATGTGGGTGAAGGAGAGTCCAGGGGGCTCTGAGGAAAGTTTAGGGAAGTTGCCTGGCCCCCCACCCCCACCAGGTTCCCTCCAAACCAGCAGCATCACCTCTAGGCCCTGGTGGGCTGAGGCCCCTTGGTTGAGGGAGAGCCAGCCTGCCCTGTGGAGCCTCCTGCTATTGCCGCCCAGATATGGCACTCCTTTCTCCCATAGTACTTCCATCAGTGCAGCCTGGCAAGAGGTCTGGCCTCAGGATCAGAGGTGAGTGAAGGGCCCAATGGAAGCCTATCTGGGAGGGAGTAGCTCAGGTGAGGCAAGGGTGATTGGTGAAAGGGCACCACATCTTTTATCTCTATTGTACATTTCCTGAACTGGAGATAGGACAAAAAGCTCCCACCACAGGGGAAACCAAAGCCCAGCACCTGAGAATATACATCACCTTCCTCTCCAGGATGGGGTTGGTCAGGATCCCAGGTTTTGCCAACTCTGTTACTCTTCTCCACCCCACCCCTAGGATTCCACTGTCCCTGAACCTCCACAAAGGGCTCAGGAGCCAGAATCAGTTGGCCTTCTCTAGCTCTACCTCAGGTAAGCCCTTCACTGTCCTGCATGAACCCTGTAATATGGTCTCTCTGCTGGGGCTGGGGCTGCAGGAGTCCAGCCTGAGTAGGGCCCCTACTTCACTCTGTTCTCTCCAGGTTCCCTCCCCCAGGGCCCCGCAAAGCTCAGCGCTGGGGAGATGGAAGAGTCTGATCAGAGGCACACAGGTGGGTAGGGTGAGGATACTTTTGCTTCAGTCCCATTGTAGCCCCTGATATCTTGCCTGGGTGTTCCAGTGATCCGACTCTGGGATTCCCAGCTCTGCCCTCCTTTACCTTCTTTGTCCCCACAGGTGCACTTGCAACCTGTGTGGGTCATGTGGGCAAAGCAGGCTGCCCATCTCGCCAACAGCCTTTCAGGCCTCCTCCTGCTCGGTCCAGGCCCTATTCTTGTTCTGTCTGTGGAAAGAGGTTTTCACTCAAGCATCAGATGGAGACACACTACCGAGTCCACACAGGTATGGGCACCCTGCCCAAGCACTGACTTGCTGCCCCTAAGTCCCTCTCTGCTGCCTAGCTCCCACACAACTCCCTTGTCCAGTTGCCCCCGATCTACCCCTAGGCTGCCTTCTTTTCTTTTTAATTAATATATTTTTATTGATTTCAGAGAGGAAGGGAGAGGGATAGAGGGATAGAAACATTACAGATGAGAGAGAATCATTGATCGGCTGCCCCCTACTGGGGATCAAGCCCGCAACCCAGGCATGTGCCCTTGGCCAGAATGGAACCTGGGACCCTTCAGTCCGCAGGCCGACTCCCTATCCAGAGCCAAACCGGCTAGGGCTTCGCCCCCTTCTTATCTTCACCGCCCTTCCCCTCCACCCACCCTAGGAGAGAAGCCCTTTTCCTGTGGCCTCTGTCCCCAGCGCTCCCGGGACTTCTCGGCCATGACCAAGCACCTGCGGACACACGGGGCTGCACCCTACCGCTGCTCTCTGTGCGGAGCCGGCTGCCCCAGCCTGGCTTCCATGCAGGCACACATGCGGGGCCACTCGCCCAGCCAGCTCCCGCCTGGATGGACCATTCGCTCCACCTTCCTCTACTCCTCCTCCGCCTCTACCTCCTCGAGGCCATCCTGGGACTCCACTTCCAAGTAGGTCCCCTGCCTCCTCCACCTGATGGGATGGCAATAGCTTCTTTGGCTGCAGCTAAAGAATGAAAGATATAAAGACAGGCCGGCGGGCTGGCTAGGCTTCTGACCCGGCACCCCGGCTGTGGCAGCCTAGCGAATTCGGCTAAGAAGCATCGCGGGAAGGGCCCCGAGAGCCCTCTCCCGGTGACCAAGGACCGCAGAAGCCTGGACTGGCGATCCCGTGTGGGGCGAGGGCAGTGAGGTTTGCACAAGTGAATCTTAACTGTGTGGGGACTGTTGATTTCATTACTAAAATAAAGCGTTGTCTGTGCCTTCCTCTCAGGACAAGAAAGCTGAGTCCAGAATTTAGTCTGCGCGGGTCGGGGGTGCGCGCAGCCTCGCCCCTGGTCCTGTAGCGGCCCCTCGTGGGCGCACGTCCGCTGTTCGGCACGGCGGCCCCCTCCTCGGTCTCCCCGACCTCCCGGGAGGCAGCGGGTCGGGAGGGCTCCATGGTCGGGCTGACTTAGCAGCCAGCCCTGCGGGGGAAAGCTGTAAGAACCCCAGGTCCTGCCCTTCCCACGGCAAGCCAAGGCGCACGCAGTCGGAGTCGGGGGGGGGGGGTCCCTGGCCCGGGCTCGAGGAGCCGCGTACTCCACTCAGCTTTCAACCACCCTCCTCCTCTCCTTGAGGACGAGGGCCGCGGCTTCTGCGGCATCTCTGCTCCACGCTGCGTGCAACGGCGGCCGGGTCGACCCTGGAACTGAGACTAACCCTTGGCCGCCGCCCCCTCCCCAGCCCCAGCTCCCGCAGTCGCGAACTTCGCTTCGCGGTGTCCTCGGGCTCCCAGGGAAAGAAGCCCCTGCACCCTGGGAGTGGTAGTTCCCGCCGGCCGCCGGCCGCACCAGGACGATGGGAGGAGTCCGGGACGAACGCCACGCCTCCCGGCGGCTCGGGAGCGATCTTTCTTTCTGGGTCGGGTCGGGACCCCTCCAGACCCAGCTCTCGCGGCCCCAGCGCCCGGCG